AAAAAAAAAAAAAAAATAAATGCGAACGCGCGGTGAGAAAATAGACTTTTACTACCCAAAAGATCTGCGAGAATTTTATGGGGACAATAAAAAAAGATAGAAAGAATGTGCAACTAAACCTAGTGGTTAAGAAAATGTAAAGAATTCATGATAATAAAGAAAGAAAAAAGAAAAAAAAAAATTTAAATTCAAAACGTTCAATTATATTATTAATGTACGTTTGTGGAAAATATATATATATGTGAACGTTGTAAAAAAAATTAAATAAAAAAAGTATAATTAAAGAAGTTAAAAGCAAAAAGTCGAAAACCTTGAAAAATGTAAGAAAAAGGAAAATAAAAAAAAAATTTAATTTTAACATTTTATTAATAAAATGGCGAAAAAATATTTGCTCCTCCTTAACCAGGCATTAACGCCACCACCAAGGTATTAAAAAAAAGGAAGGAAAAAAATTGAGCAATATCCGTTTGAACTTTCACGTCCCAACAACAACAACAAAAGGAGCTTTACATTATAAGCTCACGGATTTATTGTAAAGAAAAAATGAAAGAAAGACTTTTAAAAAAATAAAAATTTTTTTAATATTTTCTTTCTCCCGATTACAAATCACGAAAAAAAAAAAAAAAGCAATTAAAATCGAATAGAATGACGCAATTCTTTGGGAACGTGGACGTGTCGAACGCGAATTAACAAGAAAACAATTCAAAAGGAAAAGAAATAAAAACGACAAAATACAAGTTAGTAAACGTTTCAACAAAATGACCACAACGAACCGTGACGTCTAAGAGCAACAACAACCAATACAACAACAACAACAAACGGAGGGTAATACGAAACGATGAAATCGTTTTTAAAAAATAAACGTAGAACAAGGACTCCAAAGAAAAGAAACTTTAAAAAAAAATTATAAAAGAGGAATAGAAGGAAGGTAGGAAAAGGGGGAGGTGACGGTGCCTGGATTGGATACGTAATGAAAAGAATTCGAAAATATCTTGAGTGGGCATAAATCATATTTTTTTTTTTTTTTTAAAAAGTCATTAAAAAAAAAGTTTTATTGCGGTTTTTGGTTTCAAACGAATAAATTTTGTGTGTACGAACACACAAAATGTGTATTTAAAAAAAAAAAAAAAAAAAAAAAGTTTGTGGGGAGAAATCATTCGAAAATTTTCGAAAAATATAACAAATTCTAATTCATACGAGTAGGAACACACAACAACAAAAAAGCACTCGATGGAAAATTCTCAACGATGAAAAAATCATAACAATAGGAGAAGGCGGTGGGATTTAAATTTTTAAACGCGCCAAAATTTTTAACAAACAATCCGACAACTTTTCCAAAGAATTTTGAACGAAATAAAAAAAAATTTTTAATTAAACTTTCACGTAAATTTGCTATGCATGCATGATTTATAAATGAATTTTTTTCTTAATTTTTGCTTTGATTCAAAGCAGCCTCCCCGAGTTCATTTATACCCCCGTAAAAAAAAAAAAAAAATTAACGTTTTTTTCTATTTTTACAAAGACGATCGGGGGGTGAGGAGGACGAGTAGGGGGGAAAGAAGTAAAATCATTGCTGCATTTTTTTCTAATCAGCATTAATTTACATTGTTAATTTTATTGACTTTTTTTTTTTATTATTTTTACAACAAAAAGTGAAAACGTTTTCTTATTTTTTTTTAAAAATTAAATCACCATTAAATTGTTTTTTTTTTTTTTTAAATGTGGTTTTCATTAACGAAAATTTTTTAGGTTTTTATTAATTATAAAAAAAAAAAAAAAACCAATCATCGCGTTAATTATTAACGTCGTTAATAAAACGACAATATGGCGAGGGGAAAAACCAAAATTTTTTCGAAATTTGACAAAATAATAATAATAAATCTTTTAAATTTTGTTGTTTTTTGAGTGTGTGTGTGTGCGTTCGACTTATTTTTATTATAAGAAGAAAGAAAAGGAGGGTAAAAAAAAAACTCGTAAATTATTTATTTTATTGTTGTTGTTGGTAGTATGGATGGACGTGAAATTTTTAAATCGTGATCAAAGGCTTATTTTCCTTCCGTTATAAAAAATATTTTCATTGGACCACCGTTGGAGTCTTTTATTTATTTTTAATATTTTTTTTTTTTTTTGGATAATAACGACTTTATTTTTGCATTGTATTTTTAACAACAACAACAACCGAAATTATTATTATTATTATTGGTTTAACACAAAAAACTATAACGTCAATAATGTTGATGGAAAATTAAAACGTTAACGGGGAAATCGTCATGGATTGTTTTTTTTTGTTAACTTGCAACAACAACAACAACAATTCTTCAGATGGAAACAAACATTAAAAAAAATAAACATATGTATATAATACAAAGGATTGGTATTGGAAGAAGGATTTTTTTATTTGAAAGGTGAAGAAAAAAAGTCATAAATAAATAAAAAAAAAAAAAATTTTTTTTTCTTAAATGGTGAAATAATTTATTGCGAATTAGGCTGATTATAAAAAAAAAAAAAAAAAAAAAACGAGTCGCAAAAGTAATAAAAAAGTTTATTAAAAAAAAAAAAAGAAAAAAATTCCAATAAAAATTATTATTAATAAACGATTATAAATAATTTTTAATAAAATTTCAAAGAAAAAAATTTTCTTCATATCGGAGGGAAAATATTTGTGGCGGTGATGACGATGACGATGACGTCAACAACAACGGGTATTTTTGTCGCCAAAATTTAAAAATCGTAAACAAACGATGAGGTTATATAAAAAGGTGGTAACAGTCCGGAACGAATGTGAGGTATTAACAAAACAAATAAATAAATAAAAAATTACCGTAATATTTAATCGTTTTAATTAATAAATATACATACATAACTTTTTATTTTTTAAAAATTTTATTAATAATAATAATGATAAATTTTTCAGCACAAGAAGAAATAACGAAAATGTCACTTTTATCAGCGAGCATGTTACATCCTAGACCTCCGATATTAGGTTCACCTTACGTACCTAATTTGTACAGAACTTTCAATTCATCATTGCTTACGTATAGCAATCAACCTATAGATTCACTATCGATTCCTCCTCTTTCGCCAGAATCACCACCAAGGAGAACAACACCGAGGACATCAAGTCCCCTTATTGAAAGAAGGAAAGCATAAATAAAATACAGGTGTGAGTTTAAGTGCGTGGTATATAAAAGAAACTTAAAAAAACGTCCATTTTCTTTTTCACGCGGCACATCATACATACACACACACACATATTCTTTTTATATATATTTTGACTATATATTCTCTATAAAATATGTTGACAGCTTTATTACTTCTATAATGAAATTTTTCTTCTTCTTCTTCTGATGATGATGATCTGGTTTAACCTTTATGTTTTCCTCTCTCTCTCTCTCTCCTCTCCTTTCCTTATTTATATATATTCTCTCTTATAACAACACCTGCAATCAATCTTATTATTATTATTAATTCTTTTTTTTATATATAAAGTGTATGTATGGAAATGGAAAAAAAATAACATGTGAACAATGTATTATGATATATATTATAGTATAAGAAGATGGTTGTTGTAGCAAGAAGAAACTGTCACTAAAAGAAAACAACAACAATAACAACAACCTTAGCAACAATCATCCTCCATGTTAGACTTTCTAATTACTTGGCCTAGAGTCTCTTTTTTAAAGAAATGGCGATCGTAGAACTTTCTTTTAATTTAAAGTTATTAAGACTTTTTTTTTACGACTTTAACTATAATTATACAAAAAAAAAAAAGAAAAGAAAAGAATTATTATTATTATTATTATTGTTTCTTTTTTACTTTTCTCCCCCTTTGATTTTTTTTTTTCTTTTTTTTTTTTTTTTTTCATTTTCATTGTGTTACAATGCGTTGCGCAAAAGTTTTTATTATAATAATAATAATAATGATAATAAGTTTTTTTAATAGGTGAATTGACTATTAAATTTAATTGCTCTATGTTAATTTGATCATTAATAATTTTTTATTTTATTTTATTTTATTTCAATGAAGTTTTTTTTTTTTTTTACGATTTTTTTTTTTTTTGTTTTGTTGATTCTTTTTCTTTTTTTTTTTAGATGAATCTATGAACGATGATGTTACAACACAAACAACAAACAAGATGATGATGATGATGATGATGATGATGGAAAAAATATTATTAATTTTATTCTATATACAATAGAATGAGTAAGAGAGAGAGAGAGAGAGAGAGTGAGAGAGACAGGCAGGGACACGTCATGAAGAAATTATTATAGATTCTTACTGTTTCTTTTTTTATATTTTCATGTAGATTTTGTAAAAAAAATTTTTTGTAAAAAACAACAAAAAAAAGAAATTTTTTATTATTAATTTATAAATCATGCACTTGTGAAAATGAATAAGTTGAGGAATTAATTTTAATAATAATAATATTATTAATTAAGATTGATGTTGTATATAAATTAATAATGATATTATACAAAATTAGTGCCACAATTTTCTTTTTTCTTTTCATTGTAAATGTTTACAAAGCTTTTTATTTAATTTAAAAATCTTTTTTTTTTGGTGCACATGAAACTTAAACTCAAATTTATTTATTTTTTTTTATGTTGGTCACTTTGATCATGATCGTTGGAATAAAAAAAAATTTTTTTGTGGATATTGATAGTGTTTTTTAATGCACAAAAATTGATTATATCTTTCACATACTAAGAAAATAAAAATTTATATATAATATAAATTAAAACGTAATAAATGATTTTAATGTTTTTTTTTTTTTTGTAAGTTATCAATCATTAATAATAATTATTATTAATTAGGTTTTTTATTTAAATTTTAAAAATTGAGTTTAATTATAAAATAAATTAGTTAAAATTTTGATCTCCATATTCATTATTATTATTATTATAATTATTTTTTTCCATTAACGTTAACTGTTTATGTACATAAATATATAATTGTATAAATTTAACTTATATTGGATTTATTTATTTATTTTCTTTTAAAACATCCTCCTAATGGTAGTTTTTAAATAAGAAATCGATGAAAATTATTTAATATATTTAATTTGATTAATTAAATTAAACCGTTAAATTTTTTTTTGGATTTTATTTATTAAATTTAGCGGTTAAAAGTCACTCAACGATTCACGTAGTGAATCATTTTTAAAATT